CTGGATGATCCCATTACAGTAATACTTATAAAGACAGCTGTTGTTTCTCTTTGCCTAGTCTTGCTCTCAGCACCTTGTTTTCCCTTTGTGTAGCCCTCACCACTACTCCAGACAGACCTGTGTCTAACACAGCCCCCAGTATCTTGTCACTGAAACTTATCAACCCAAGAACCTCACCCCTGGCCACAANTGACTAGACAGACCTTTGGTAGCAAAGTAATGTCTCTGCTTTTTAATATGCTGCCTAGGTTGGTCATGGATATAGCCAGGTTGAGCTCCTGAATGTAGCCATACCTGAAGCCCTCAGTCTTGGCAGTATCACAAGCCAACCAATTTCTTGGGTATTTGAGCTAGTTTAGTGGGTTTCTGTTCCTTGCAGTCATGAGAATCTTGACTAATTTATAAATTAGTTTCGGGAAAGGGAAGGGTATTGAAGGAAATAACTTAAAATGTGAAATTGGCTGAAAAAAGGTAAAATAGAGGGCCAGGGCCACCACAGACATATATATTCATTATGAATAGGACTTCAAGCTTTGCGCTGTGCACAACCTCCCCAGATGTATGTCACATCCCGTAGAAGAGCCTTTCTCAGGAGACAGACATCTATTATGTAGAAAAATAGCTGATTAAATTGTTACCTGTTTTATCAGTCATCTGAGACTGTGGCTCAAGTGCCTTTGGAGGAAAACATCAGGGTGTTGGAATACCTGGGAGCTTCCATGAAGTCTTCAGCAAGGTCTTATAAGATAGATACAAACTCCCTCTATCTGCTCCTTCTTAAAGCAGAGTCTAGCATTTCCTTGATTTTGTGAGCTTTCCAGAGCTCAATTCTCTGCCCCAGGCTAAAAAACAAAGTTACTAGGAATCAGATGGGGAGATAAGGCTGGGATTATCAGAGATCTGGTGGGTACTTTCAAACACTGAACACTGCTTGTCTCTAAAGGCACAATTACCCTCATTGGGAAGAGCCTATTGACTGAATCTGTCTGCTCTCTAGATTGTAACCTGGGGCAAGATGCTATGGGGATGGACAGGCACAGGTCTGTTGCTAGGAGACAGGATCTACCAAGGTTGGCCTCCAGACTCCAAAATCCTGGTGAGGTTTGAAGAACCAAATCATCGAGGCATCCAATCACAGCATCCCTTCCCTCTGGGCACAGTGATTGGTTTGCGGCTGGACATGTGACACAAATGGGTCAATCAGAGTGTTCCTTACTTTCTAATGTGAGACAGCTCTTCCTTTGGGGCCTAACTATTAGGATTTGGGTTTTGTTTTGGTTTTTTTTTTTGCCACTGCTTGGACTGAGAGGCAGAAAGGCAGAAAGCATGCCTGATAAGGAATTGGCAGTCTTGCTAATTACAGATTTTCTTAAGTCAATAAAATCCCTGTCTGCTTGAGCAGATAGAGCTAGGTTTCTGATACTTGAAACAGAAATACCTAAGACCTTAACATGGAGAAGGCAATGGCACTCTACTCCAGTACTCTTGCCTGGAAAATCCCATGGATGGAGGAGCCTGGTAGGCTGGAGTCCATGGGGTTGCTGAGAGTCGGACACGACTGAGCGACTTCACTTTCACTCTTCACTTTCATGCACTGGAGAAGGAAATGGCAACCCACTCCAGTGTTCTTGCCTGGGGAATCCCAGGGACGGGGGAGCCTGGTGGTCTGCTGTCTCTGGGGTCACACAGAGTCAGACACAACTGAAGCGACTTAGCAGCAGCAGCAGCAGCAAGACCTTAACAAAATTTAGGCACTGTTCATTGAGCTGCAGCCAAGTGTGAGGCCCTGTTTTAAGATGGTACCTGCACATTGTGTTGACTCTTTGTAACCCTCCATGAAGGAGGAACTGTTGCTCTCCCCAGTTTTTCACATAATGAAAGTGAGGGTGAGAGTATGAAATCATTTGCTGAAGGACAGAAAGAGATAAGTCTGATGCTTAGTGATGAGTACCATTGACAAGAATGTTTTCCTTTAAAAATTCATCTGTTTGGGGACTAACCCTGATCCAGTGGTTAAGAATCTGCCTTGCAATGCAGGAGATGAGGGTTCAATCCCTGGTCGAGGAACTAAGATCGCCACATGCAGGGGCAACTAGGCCGGAGCGCAGCAACTACTGAGGATGTGCGCTCTAGAGCCGGTGCTCCACGACAAGAGAAGCCCCTGCACATTGCAACTAGATAAAAGCCTGAGTCACAACAAAGACCAAACATAGCCTAAATACAAAAAGAGTCATCTGTTTTCCCATGTTCAAGACTGTTTCATTTGGGCTTCCCTGGTAGCTCAGTAGTTTAAAAAAAAAAAAAAGCTGCCTGCCAATGCAGGAGACAAGGGTTCGATCCCTGGTCTGGGAAGATCCCACATGCCATGGGGCAGCTAAGCCCATACATCACAACTATTGAGCCTTTGCTCTAGAGCCTGGGAACTGCAACTACTGAGCCCTTGTGCCGCAACTATTGAAGCCCAGGAGCTCTAGAGCCTGTGCTCACAACAAGAGAAGTCACCGAACTGAGAAGCTCATGCACTGCAACTAGAGAGTAGCCTCCACTCGCTACAACTAGAGAAAAGCCCAAGCAGCAATAAGGACTGAGCACAGTAAATAAAAGTAAATACATACAGTTTTAAAAAAGATTATTTTATTCATCTAATTTTATAAGCCCTTTTGGTTTTTATAGTTCATATGACATGCTTTTTTTTGGAAAGTAAGTGGAATATAGGAGGGTAGACATAAATCCATAACATAAAACCAGAATCATCATCATGTAATTTCTTTCTGTACTGAAGACATTTCGAGTAAAGTTTCTGTTCTTTCCTGGCAACCCATACTGGGGCTTGTCAGTTCCTTGGTTAGAAAATGTTTCACCATGTGCCCAAATCTGTCTCCTTCTAACTCCTACCTCTTATTTCTCATCTGGTGTCTCTGCAGTTTAAACCATTCTTAGAACCAGGCAGGAGCACCCATAATCCTGCAACTGGAGCGACACAGAACCAAAGCAAAATTTCTGAGCTTCCTGGAAGGCAAGGCAAAGAGGATGAGTCCCTTTGTACATACAGTTTGGCCAAGCAGCAGACCGGCTTTACCAGGAGCCCCTGATTTTGTCATGGGAATCACCGGAGAATGGGTTTATTGTAGTGGTCCTCAACCAGGGGCAACGTTTCCCTCCAAGGGACACTTGGCAATGTATGGAGACATCTTTGGTTGTCACAGCTGGGTGGGGGAGGAGGAATGTACTATGGGCAGGTGGTAGGTAGAGGTCAAGGAGGATGCTGGCCAGCCTGCAATGCATGAGATGGCCTCCGAGCACCAAGAATGATCCTATCCAGAATGCCAATAAGGCTGACATTGAGAAATCATGTTATTATCATGGAGTAATTCACAGGACTGTCATCTGCATCATTAGTGGAAGCAAACAGAAGAAATGTCCGGCCTCTATCAGACCTTCTCATGGTCAATGTGGATACCATGATTGCAGCCAAAAGGGCCATCTTGTCCCAGTAGTACCTCAAACTGGACTTCTCTCCTTCCTGTGGAAATGACAGGGGTCTCACAGGACTATTGCCCATGGGGAAAGGACACCTGGTCAGGCTTGAGGCTGACTCTTAGTGGCCTATTGGATTGGGTGTCTTGTGAAGGTCTGTCTACAGGGTCAGGAAGCTACATTCATTCCCTGAAACCAGATTCTCAACAGCCTGCCAAGGTAGGACCCAAGTATGGCCACCAAGACCCATCTGATCATTCCAGATAGAGCCAGCTTCTTGGTGTTGATTGCACCAGACCTCCAAGATTGTCATGGTGGGTTGCTGTCCAAGGTACTGGTCCTTGACATACTTGCCAAGCCCTGTCACCCACTGGCTTCAGGGACCCACCCCAACCTCCTCCTTTCTACCCTTTTCATTCTGTCTCTGGCTGAACACCTGCCCCCTTGGACCTTATTATATCCTGATGAGTTTTGTTGTTTTTCCCTTTTGACCTGGGGGCCAGTTTCCCAGCCAGCTAGTGCACCAACTATTCAGCTTCCAGCTTCTGCTCATGACAGGGTAAATTACTGGGTCGTTCTCATGTCCACCCCTTCATGCCCCCTCTAAGCCCCAGCCAACATATCAGGAATTGAAAGCTCCTTCCTCCCCCTCCTCTCCTTCATCCTTGGAAGGGAAACTCTCCTTTCTTGACTCCTAGACACGACCTGACTAGTGTGTACATTTCTCAGTTATAACAATATATATATATATATTATATATATATAACTATATATTATATATACACACATAGAGAGAGAGAGAGAGAGAGATTGTGTCCAGGTGGTGCTAGTGGTGAAGAACCCATCTGGCAATACAGGAGACATAAGAGACACAGGTTCAACCCCTGGTTCAGGAAGATCCCCTAGAGGAGGGCATGGCAACCCACTCCAGTATTCTTTCTTGGAGAATCGCACAGACAGAGGAGCCTGGCAGGCTATAGCCTATGGGGTTGCAAAACATCATACATGACGGAAGCAACTTAGCTCGCGGCACACACGCAATGAGAGAGAGCTATTATTTATCTCCATTCTATAGATAAGCAACTAGAGGTTCAGAGGGGTCAAATGACCTGCCCAAGAGTATTTTTCAGGAGTCAGGATTTGGACTCTGTCCATTCAGTTCCAGGAGGCTGCGATTTCAGCCTCATGACACTGCCTCATTCACCCACATCATTCAGAGCTTGTGACAGCACCTAAACTCCTTACATGAATCCAACCATCAAGCCTTTGCACAAACTGAGATGGCCTCCCTGCCCAGAGTGGGACAACACCCAGGGTCTGCAAAAGGGATTCTCCCCGGAGTCATTCCCTCTTGTACATTCTCCCCGACCTCCATCCTTCATCCCGCAAGCCTGCTATCTCCTGGAGGAGGGCATGGCAATCCACTCCAGCATTCTTGCCTGGAAAATTCCATGGACAGAGGAGCCTGGTGGGCTACAGTCCACGGGGTTGCACAGAGTCAGACACAACTGAGCACACATGCATGGGTTGCCAAAGCGCTGTTTATTGCTGGCTAGGGCATGGGTAGATAGGGGTCTGGGGGACCCGAGGGTCCACTTTCCGAGCCCCACAGCCCCACTGATGAAGAGAGCCCAGGGGCAAGTGACTCTCCTGGAAGTCGTCCCATCTTAGCACCGCTGGGCCCTGGTACTTGAAGGTATATTCATCCTTGTTTAGGGTTGAGAAGAAGCGCTGTTGACCCAGCGGCGGCTCCAAGTGGCTATACTTGCACTGTGGAGTCAGGGTGGGGGAGCCTGGCAGGGCAGCCTGGAGGGCGGCTGACCCACCCAGGCCACCCTGGGAACATAAAGCTGTGGGGAGAGACTCAGCCGGGTTTAGCCCCTGACTGGGTCCTGGGGAGGTGGGCAAAAGTTGGGGTGACATAGGAGCTGGATGAGAAGCTGAAGAGAAACCAGTGCAGGCCCCGGCAGAGACCCCACGGCCTTGTTGACCGTAGGCGATTCTGAGCTCATCCTCAGCTTGGAATGTAACTGGCTCACCACAGTGGCCCCTGAGCTGACTGTGATGGGCCCCTGAGCTGACTGTGATGGGCCCCTGAGCCTTGGGTGACCCTAGAGTAACCCTGAGTCGTGAAGTGAAAGTGTTAGTCACTCATTCGTGTCTGACTCTTTGTGACCCCATGGACTGTAACCCACCAGGCTCCTCTGTCCATGGAATTCTCCAGGCAAGAATACTGGAGTGGGTTGCCATGCCCTTCTCCAGGGGATCTTCCCGACCCAGGAATCTAACNCCAGGCTCCTCTGTCCATGGAATTCTCCAGGCAAGAATACTGGAGTGGGTTGCCATGCCCTTCTCCAGGGGATCTTCCCGACCCAGGAATCTAACCCATGTCTCCTGCCTTGTAGGCAGATTCTTTACCATTTGAGTCACCAGGGAAGCATGACCCTGAGCAGATGTGAGACTAATTCTGATCTGAGAGGTTACCTGGTTAAGGAGATACCCTTTCCTCCTCCCTCACCCGCTGTAGCATCTCCTCGGTCACAGAGGCTGGAGCTATTCCGTGTGGCTTCAGCATCTTCCGGTTCATGGTTAAAAAATCTACGTCTGGAGATTTGGGTGGGGTGGCCGAGCTGAGGGGCTGAGGGAGGAAAGGCAGGGCCCAGGGGGAAAGGACGCCGGAGGCTAAGGATGCGGCAAGGGTTCAAGGGCGACGCCTGGATTCCCGCTGAAGTTGTCAGGGGAGGAGGATGCGTTAGGAGGCAGGGAGGGTAAGGGAGCCAGGGTTGGGGGAGGTGGCCAGGGGCGGGGCAAGGACAGAAGATCCGGGGCGAGGGGCCGGTGGGGGGACAGGAAGAGTGGACTAGCTGGTCAAGGGGCGGAGCCAGAGTGTTGCCGAGGAGGAGGAGGGCTAAGAGTCTTGAGAGGGTGGATATGGAGAAGGGAGGAGCCATGCCAGAGGGGCGGAGTCATGCAGAGATGGAGTGGGTGGTTGAGAGTCACCGTGACGAGGGCATGCGGTTGTTCAGGGTCAGAGCTGGGAATCCTGGCCCAGGGCTTGAGATCTAACCCTTCAGGAGGCGGAGCCAGAGGCAGGCAGTGGGCGAGGTGGGATTGGCCGCGGGCGGGACCACAGAGGGGGGTAGGGCGGGGCTTCCCAAGGTAGGCGGGGCCTCGCTCACCGCCGGTGCCCTCCGGCAGGTTGCTTCGATGCAGGTGGAGGTTGGGCGCTTTCGGCGGCTTTGGCATCCCAGTGGGTAAATAATCCGTGCCCATGGAGGTCTGGAAGAACCGTCCGAGCAGCGACGGCTCCCCTAGGGTTATGTGACTCTGCCATGTCTCATGAGGCACGTGGCGGCTGGCTGACTCGCTCGCTCGCAGCGGCTGTAAAGACCACAGGGCATCTGGGAAGCTCCCCTCGTCGTGGATGTCCCAAGGCCGGGGATGAAGCTCAGAAGCGGGAGCTGTGTGACCTTGGACGGCTCACACGCTCTCTGGGTCCCACGTGACGGCGCTGGGAATTGGTACTGTTATCTAAGTTTACACACAACCACTGAGGTATGAAGTGGTTAAGTGGCTCGCCCTACATCCGGCAAATAGATCCAGGAGGTCCCCGTACACAGGGCCAGCTCCCTCCCACCTCAGGGCCTTTGCACTTGCTATTATTCACTCTGGGAAACAGAGGAAAGCCCGTTTCCCTGACTCGCCCTGCAGCCTTTCGCCTTCCTGCTGACCTGACGGTAGAAGAATTGTGTGGAGGTGGTGAGGCTCCCCGGACCGGGACACCCGTTTCCTTCCAGGATGTGTGACTCCGGAGTCTGGTCGTGGTGAAGAAGGAAAGGTTCTGCCAGTGGTAGAGTAGGTCCTGAGCAACCCTGGGTGGCTGCTGTGAGAGTGAGGGGGCAGGGCAGGCAGCTGGATCTCACCTGGCTCCCGGGCATAGAAGTGTTCCCTCTTGGTGGTCCTGTCGTGGAAGAGGCCATCCCCAGGACGGATGTTCACACAGTGGATGTGGGCTGAGGCCTGGGCTTTGTCATACCTGCAGGTAAGGGGATGGGAAGCAGCAGGTGGATCCATCTGATCTGGGCCCTTACAACTCCCAGGAAAAGGGAGGGAGGGACAGGTTCCCCAATGGCCAAGCTGTGGGGTGCTAATTGTGAGTGATCTGGCACAATAGTGGGCCTTGCCTGTGGGTGATGGAGACTTCGAGGGCACAGTGTTGACCCTAGAGACTTAGGTGACCCACCCCACATATCGCTGAGAGCCCTTTCACCCTGTCTTGGTAGAAAAGGCCATGGTTCCTTTTTACCTGTCCGGGGGCAGATCCAGAGGCCTGTAGGCTTGTTTCTGCTCCGTGCAGATGGGCCTGTAGCCAGTCTTGAAGTCTCCCAGTTCTATGCTGGAGGATGCCTGTGGGCGGACAGGAGTGCGGAGGGCAAGACCACCCAGCCCCCATCGCTGCTTCTCCCCCTGACCCCCGACCCGCAGCACCAGCCCGGTCTCAATTTACCCTCTTACACGGCAAGGCAGGTGGGCCTGGCAGGGCCTGGAACTGTCTCTGGTAGGAGGTGTTGTCATCCTGTCTCTTGTGTTCCCACTGGAGGGGATTGGGCCCACCTGAGGATGAGCAAGAGGAGAGAGAATGGGATCAATTCGTGGCAGCTTCAGGACCACTGGGATTCTATTCCTCGCCTGGGAAGGGCAGGTGGGCAGTCCAGACTAGCTTAGCCAAAGGCCTGTCTGGAAAACATCAAAAATAATAAGTAGGGACTTCCACGGGCTTCCCTGGTGGTTCAGTGGTAGAGAGTCCACCTGCAATGCAGGAGCCGCAGGAGAAGCAGGTTGGATCTCTGGGTTGATCCCCTGAAGAACCACTCCAGTATTCTTGCCTGGAGAATCCCATGGGCAGAGGAGCCTGGCAGGCTACAGTCCATGGGGTCACTCCCAATGCATGGGGCCTGGGTTCATTTGATCTCTGGTCAGGAACTAGACCCCACATGCCACAACAAAGATCAAAGATCCCTCAGACCAAAACTAAGACCCAGTACAGCCAAACAAATATATATATATATACATGTTTTAAATGACAACAAGGGAGTTCCCTGATTGCCTAGTGGTTAGGATTCCAGGTTGTCACTGCTGTGACCCAGGTTCCTCTGAGTCACAGAATTGGAAAAATCATACAAATAACAGCAACCCTTTGTTGCTCACTATCTGGCAGGCATGTCCTGCACTCGGGGCTCTTTTGGCTTCACCAGTGACTATAAAACTGGTTGTTGCACCCACTTTGCAGATGAGTAAACTGAGGCTGGAAGAGGTTGCTTTCCTCAGAGTCACACAGCTACTGAGGTGGCAGGGCTGGGTGGTGGAGGTGAAGACACTTAGCAGATTTGTTTAACCCCAAACCAGCTTCATGACTCTGCCCACAGCAAAGCACCCTGGAGAGCTTCGGGAGATGTGCCCATTCTGTGGATGCAGAAACTGAGGTTCAAGGAGGTTCCAGGGTTTCTCCGCCTCTGTGCTGTTGACATTTGACGTGAAAGTGAAAGTGTTCATCGGTCGGTTGTGTTCCACTTTTTGTGACTCCGTGGACAGTAGCCCGCCAGGCTCCTCTGTCCATAGGGTTTCCAAGGCAAGAATGCTGGGGTGAGTTGCAATTCCCTTCTCTAGGATATCTTTCTGACCCAGGGATCCAACCCGGGTCTCCTGGATTGGCAGGCGGATTCTTAACCAACTGAGCCACCAGGAAAGCCAACATCTGGATAATTCTTTACTGCGGGGAGCTCCCCTATGCGTGGTAAGATGTTTAGTAGTATCCCTGGCCTCCCAACTCCCTGACAGTAGTGTTCTCTCCTTCCCGTTGTAAAGACTGAAAAAGACGATCATCAGACACTGTCGGGTGTCCACTAGGGGCGAGGAGCAGAATCTCAGTTCGCCGCGAGAATGTGTGTGGGTTAAATTGCCTAGGGCGCCGGGGCGCGCACTCACAGAGGCGGCAGGCAGGCTCGCGGGGCTTCAGGCAAAAGTTGTGGAGCGGGAAGAACTCCCGATACGTGGTGGGCGGGATGCGCAGCTTGGCTCGGTCGCCGGACGGCAGCGAGTCGCGGTCGAAGATGAGGCGCGCGCCGCGGGTCTGTTCGCGAGCGCGCTCCGGCGGCTCTTGCCAGCCGTAGTCGGCGCGCGCAGTGGAGAGGCCGGTGCGGGCGCGCGGTTCCGCGTGCACGTGCAGGTGACTGGCTTGCATGGCGAGTGTGCGCTCCCGCGCCAGTTCCCACTCTTGCTCCCTCAACAGCATTGGTGGCGGGGGCTCATAGGCGCAGCGCGTCTCCGACAGGCGCTCCTGGCCCGCCCAGCGCGCATCCTTTTGGAAGAGGGATGCGCAGGGCGGCGGCTGGCACAGCGGCCCACGGGTAGAGCTCGAGTAGGCGGGAAAGTCCCGGTGCGATGTGGACTGCTTGGCGCCCGCGTGCAACCGCGGGTCCTGCCCCAGCGCGAAGTGCGAGGCCTTGAGGAAGTCCAGCCGGGACACTGGGCAGGGCAGGAGGGCGCCCGCGGCCATAGCGGGGGGAGGTGCCACCTGCGAGGAGGCGGAGACAGGAATGAGCAGGTCCCACGGTGGGCTCGGGGTTGGACACATCGTAAGTAACAGGTTTAAGGATTTTACTGGCGGTGCAGTGGTCAGGACTCCTTGCTTTCACTTCCAGGGACCAGGATTCAACCCTGATCGGGGAACTGAGATCCCGCAAGCCCTGTGGTGCGTCCCTCACCCCCGCCCAAAAGAAATAGGTGTAGCTCCTTTGCCTGCCCGCAGGGAAAGTAAAGATAGAAATAATCACTTATTTGGCATTTAGAGTGTGCCAGGCACGGTTCTAGGCTCCCGGAGAGGACCTAGAGCTCTACCTTTGTGGAGATGGTAACGGGAACATACAATAATGAATAAATGTAATCACATCAATTAAAGAGTAAGTTACAAGGTGATAAGTGCCTTGGGGGGGAAAAGTCACATTGAGTAAAGGATAGGGTTTGGGCTAGAAGCCTTGTTGTTTTAAATAGTCAGGAAAGGCATTCCTCGGTGGTGCAGTGGATAAGAATCCACCTGCCATTGTGGGAAACATGGGTTCGATCCCTGGTCTGGGAACATTCTATATGCTGCAGATCAGTTAAGCCCGTGGGAGCCACAACTACCAAAGCCCACACTCTCGGAGCCCATGCACCACAAGAGAAGCCACCGAACTGAGAAACACGCAATGAAGAGTAGCCCCCTGCGTGCCACAATTAGAGAAAGCCAGGTACAGCAACGAGGACCCAGTGCAGTCATAAATAAACAAACAGAAAATTTAAAAAACAGTCAGGGAAGGCATAACTAAGATGATAGTTGAGCAAAGACCTGGAAAGATGGGCAGTGGGGCATTTGGGTATTGGGGGGTGGTGGTAATAACATTCTGGGCAGAAGAAACAGCAGGTACAAAGGCCCTGCAGCTGATGCAGAGAGATAGGAAAAGCTGCAGAATTAACCACTGCGTTTGACAGTTTGCTACTGGAACCCACTCCCTTCACTCTCAGTCAGCTGTGAAGACCATGGCCCTCCCCTCCTTCACGCCTGGGAACCCACTTCTGTCTCTTCCAAGTTCTGGCCATTGTCCCATCTCTGCCATACGCCTCTCCTCACTGGTCTTCCTGCCCTCAGCAGTTTTCCTAGGCCCTGACTATTCTTTCTGTCTTCCAGCTGTCTGCATTTTACACACCTCTTACTCATTTCTCTGACCTTTAGCTCCGGACTCTCAACACCCCACTTAGCCTACTGAGACTTTCTGGCTTTTGCTCAGAGCTGAGATGTCTCCCTCACTCGTCTCTGTCCCTCCTTGGAGGGTATCCTTGGATACCACCAACACCCCTGGCTCACTCAGCATTACCTCCTTCAGGAAGCCCTCCCAGACTGCTTCAGCCCACAACTATTGATTCACATCAATCTCTTCAGAGAACACACATCAAGAATTTTTTAAAAAGTGAGACCACAGTGGTTTTTTCCCCTGATCATTTCACCACCTAGAATAGTTTAAGATTGAGACGCTTTCAAATAGTTTGCAGGAGAATCTGATGACTGAAATGACTAGCCGGGTCACCTTGGAATAATTAACTGGGCTCCTGTGAGCTTCATTTTGTTTCCTGATCAGGGTTGAAGAGAGTGCACCTACCTCGACGTGGGACATGGGAGCTAGTGAGTCTCAGAAGATGCACTTGGCATAGACATGACCCTCGAGACTCCCTCAGTCCCTGGTCTCCCAGAGGATGCTCAGATATTCCATCTGGGGATTCATCCAGGTGTGGTCTGGCCCTGCCCATTGTGACCCAATAAGCTGCCTGGGATGATGCTGTCACAAGGGTCCCCCAGCAACTCTGGGGGCAACCGGGGGGGGGGGAATTAGGAGCAAGGACAGAGGATCCTGCCCCCTGAGAGCTCAAGGGAGTCTGGCCCGTGACTTGACTTCTCGAAGACTCAGTTTTGTCATCTGGAAAATGGGACTGGCAATAGCAGCCACTTGAGTGGGGGAGGATTTGATGCCAGAGGCCACCTGAATGCATTGTCACCTTTTCCCCAGGTTTTATTTCTCAGCTTTCTAACACTTTTCTGCACAGGATGGGCCAAACTGTCTGAGTCACCACACCTCTTAATGCCACTCCAGGGCTCACAGACCTTCAGTGTAGCCTTAAAAACATCTGTGCCTCCCACCTTCAGCCCCAAGACCACCAGGAACACACATGTATTTGAACACACATGGCTTGTTACTTGCAGCAGTGGGTACAACGCATGTCATGGATCTCGGCTTTGTCTTCGGTGCTTCCAGGGAAGTTTCAATACGTGGGACTTTGCTATGTGTTGGATGCTTTTACTGGTTGGAAATTGGACTTTCTTTTTATTGATTTATTTATTGGCTGTGTAGCATGGCATATGGGATCTTAGTTCCCAGTTTGTTGTTCAGTCACTCAGTCATGTCTGACTCTTTGTGACCCCATGGACTGCAGCACACCAGGCTTCCCTGTCCTTTACCATCTCCCAGAGTTTGCTCAAACTCATGTCCATTTAGTCAATGGTGCCATCCAACCATCTCATCCTCTGTCACCCCCTTTTCCTCCTGCCCTCAATCTTTCCCAGCATCAGACCAGCAATTAAACCCACACTTGCTGCATTGGGAGCACAAAGTCTTAACCACTGTACTGCCAGGGAAGTCCTATTGACTTCTTCTCCTTTTTTTTTTAAATGTCTGAACAAATATAAATAATATATTAAAAAAAACCCTCAGAATGGGGTGGGGGATGGGAAATGGATGTTTCATGTGGACAGTTTCAGTTTGGGGAGAAGTAATTCTGGAGGTGGACGGTGGGGATGGTTGTACTACAGTCTGAGTGCACTTAATGCCACTGAACATGTAAAGATGATTACAATGGTCAGTTTTAAGTATATTTTACCACAACACAAAAAAATTTAAAGGAAAAAGCAATTTCTTAAAAACACATAGATGAAATAAAAATGTAAGGGTGGTGACTCTTTCTCGCTGCCCCAGATCATCTACTGAATGACAGCTTCCTTCCTTCCTTCCTTTCCTTTTTTTCTTTCTTTCTTCCTCCCTCCCTTCTTTTCTCCACCCCCGCCCCGCCTTAGCCCACATGTGATTGGCATCACCTCACTATCATTTCTTCTAGTGTCTGCAACAATGAACATCTGGTGTATTACTGGGTTTTATGTTGATAATACAGTTCTGTGTGTGTGTGTGTGTGTGTGTGTGTGTGTGTGTGTGGTCTGTCATCCCTGTACTTTGAATTCAAGCTCCAGGACTTATATACTGAATGAGTTCCTTTTCACTAAATTCAAGCAAAGTGTTGTTTTGTCCACCAAGTTGAGGTTCCATCACCTGGTCCCTGTCCCAGGGTCCTGCTGAGGGCTTTGGTCCAGCCGTGTGTGCATGCTCAGTCGCTCAGTTGTGTCTGACTCTGTGCGATCCCTTGGACTGTAGCCCACCTGGCTCCTCTGTCCATGGGATTTCCCAAGCAAGAATACTGGATTGGGTTGCCATTTCCTCCTTCAGTTTATCTTCCTGACTCAGGATCCAACCTGCATCTCCTGCATTGGCAGACGGATTCTTTACAGCTGAGCCACGGGGGAAGCCCATGTTGATTTTCTCTGCCTGCCTGGAAAAGGAGGATGCAGGAGTGGGGAGGTTCTGTATGCTGTCTGGAAGCAAGGGGGAGAAGTAACGCTGTTATGGAGGAACTGAATAATCTTGATCACAAAGTCTAAGGAATGAAGCAACTTGAAAGCGGTGATTGGGAACTTCCCTGGTAGTCCAGTGGTTAAGGGTCTGCCTTCCAAAGCAGGTGACACAGTTTCGATCCCTGGTCAGGGGACTAAGATCCCACATGCTGCAAGACACCTAAGCCTGCATTCCACAATGAAAGATCCTGAATGCAGGATCTAAAACCCAAGGCAACCAAATAAATAATAAAATAGTTTTTTAAAGAAAAAAAAAAGCAGGGATTGGCAAAGACTCAGAGTCATTCAGATTAGCCAGGACACATCTGGTTGCTGTAATGATTTGAACAGTATTCATGTTTTGTCTGTGTTCAGACAGCATGATAGAGTGGGCTTGTTTTGTCTTGTTCCACCATGGTCACAGAGTGGCCTTGTCGGATGTAGGCATCCTGTGAAATTATCTGTGTCCAGCAGAACACCAGCGCCCAACTGCGAGTGAGCTCCAGGCCAGCTCCTAGCAACCACAAGGCCAGCCGTGAATGCCAGGCCAGCTCCTGTCGCTTTCCCAAAGGTCAAGATGAGCCCTAACCAGACGGTGATGGACAGTGGGAGGGCTGGGCCCTGCCCCCCAGGCTCACTGCTGTCTCTTTGGTGCCTACAACAGGGCTTGGCGCACAGTAGCCATCAGAGACATGTAGTGTGCTATTACAAGGACCGGGGGGACAGTACAGCCTCAGGAGAAGGGATCCGGCCACTCCGCAGCCTGAGGTCTCCTCTCCTTTGTAGGCCTTGGGCTTGGCTTCAATTTTTTTCTGCAGTGTGTATGTATATGTGTGCGTGTTTAAATATTTATATATTTGACTGCTCTGGGCCTTAGTTGTAGGATCTTTGATCTTCGCTGAGGCATGTGGGATATTTTTTTTAGTTGCAGCATGTCAGGGGCTTCCCAGGTGGTGCTAGTGGTAAAGAACCCTCCTGCCGATGCAGGAGGAATAAGAGATGAGGGTTTGATCCCTGGGTCAGGAAGATCCCCTGGAGGAGGGCATGGCAACCCGCTCCAGTATTTTTGCCTGGAGAATCCCATGGACAGAGGAGCCTGACGGGCTACAGTCCACGGAGTCTCAAAGAATTGTACAAGACCGAGTGACTGAGTATGCACACACAGGTTAAGAAGCAACATAGGGACTTCTCTGTTGGTCCAGTGGCTAAAACTCCATGCTGTCAATGAAGGGGGCCCAGGTTCAATTCCTGGTCAGAGAACTAGATCCCACCTGCTGCAACTAAAAATCCCAAATCCCGCAGTGAAGATTGAAGATCCCATGTACTGCAACTAACACCTGGTGCAGCCATATTAAAGAAGGAAAAAAGAAAAAATAACATATATAGTCATGTTAAATAGTGTTACAAGCTAAAAAGAAAAATAAGGTAGCAAGAAATGTGGGCGGGAAGTGACCAGGGGTATGTGTGTGTGGTCCCACAGGAGAATGACATTTGAGTATATCTGAAAAGGAAGTGTGGGAGGGAGCCAGAGGAGTATCTGGAAGGAGAGCCTTCCAGGCAGAGCCAACAGCACGTGCAAAAGGCCTGAGGCAGGTGTGGGCTGCAACTTCAAGGAACAGGAAAAAGGCAACATGGTTGGATATGAGTGAATCAACCTGGATGAGTAATATGTGTCTAAATCAAGAGGAAATGTATTTTTTTTTCTTAATAAAAGGAAACCAGTCAGCATCATTAGTGATGCAAAACAAAACCACAGTGAGATACCACTTCAGAGTCAGCAGGAAATGTGCTCTTGGGTGTCTCCTTACTGGTAAGCCAGCTTATCTTTCCTTGACCCTTATTTATTATTTTAGCCTTGGGAAAAATAGGACAGCAGATGCAATCTTGCAAAGGAGGAATGTATGTCGAGGAATTTCCTGAGTTGACTAAGAAGAGGACAAAGAAAGCTGATGAACTATGAGAAGAGAATGGAGGTGAGAGGATTAGGTGGTATAATGTGTGTACATTAGTCTGCACGGATCCCAAGTTGGCATGACAGTATTTTTGCACATTGGGTTCAACAAAATGTATTATTAAAATGAATAGTCCAAGTGTTGGCAAGAATGTGGAGAAACTGGAACCCTTGTGCATTGTGGCTGGGAATGTAAAATGGGGCAGCCATTGTGGAAAACGGTCTAGTGGTTCCTCATCAAGTCAAACATGGGGACTTCCCTGGTAGTCCAGTGGCTAAGACTCTGCATTATCAATGCAGGGGGCCCAAGTTTGATCCTTTGTCAGGGAACTAGATCACATGCTGCAACTAACAGTTTGCGTGCCACAACTAAGACCCAGCACAGCCAAATAAACAAATAAATATTTTTTTAAAAAGTCAAACATAGTAGAATGGCCCAGCAATTCTGCTCATAGGTAGCAACTGAAAGCAGGGACTAGAACAGGTACATGTATACCATATTCACAGCCGCACTATTCCCAAGAGTCAAAAGGTGGAAACGAGGCTTCCCTGGAGGTCCAGTGGTTAGGAAATCGCCTGCTAATGCAAAGGACACGAATTCGATCCCTGGTCCAGGAAGATTCCAAAGGGCAGCACCCTCAGAGGCAATGAAGCCCGTGAGCCGCAACTACCGAGCAGCTACAGTTACTAAAGCCCACTCGCCCGAGAACCGGTGCTCTGAAACAGGAGAGACCACTACAGTGAGAAGCCCTCGCACTGCAACTAGAGGGTAGCCCCTGCTTCTTGCAACTAGAGAAAGGCCTCGAGCAGCAACAAAGACCCAGCGTAGCAAAAAACAAACAAAACAAGAGATAGAAACAATCCAAGTGTCTATCAACCAATGAGCAGATAAAAATAGGATGTAGCCAGAGCATGGAATATTAATCAGCCACAAAAGGAATTAAGTACTATTGAGACATGCACAATGTGGAGAACTTCGTTTTTGTTTTTCATTTATTNGAGGATTAGTATGACTGCATGAAAGAGTGACAGTTTCTTTTGAGGGTGATGAAAACATTTGAAAACTATCAAGGTGGGATGTCTGTATGACACCTGAGT